TATAAATCAAAAACAAAACTTACAAAATAAATCAAATTTATCCAAAAAACAAACTACACATAGTACAGAAAGTAATTCAGTAGAAAGATTAAATAATAAAAATGAAAAAAACATGATGAGGAATATGAAGTATGTATACACATTTGGTGAAGATTACCGAGGTGGCATCAATTATGGCCATAAAAATTGTGTTGATTTTTGGGTGCCAGTTCCACACAATAAAGGTTGGATTGATGATACATTTTTGGAAACTGTAAGTTGTTAAATTTAATCGATTATTATACRATTGTAGAATTTAAATCAGAAACTTATACATTTGTAGTTCCCATATTATGTAAACAAATCTGGGTGAAAAAACGTAGATCATTAAGGTAGTACTCATATATTTATAATTTATGCTTCTATTCTAATGAACACAATAATTGGTTTTAATTTACAAAATGCATTCATATTAGTTTAAGATAAAATTATCTACGTGTCACTTTAGTCATGCCTTACATACAGTAACAGTGAAGTGGCGCCAAGAATTATATTTTCTTATGACAATAGTCATAAATGATTTTTGTAGGTAGGGTGGTAGGGGGGGTCACCTTTGTCATTCTAAATAAACTATGATAATGGTATTATATATTATAGTTAATCGTAAGCTAAAAGTCAATAATATTATATAAATATTAAATATTATACTTGGTGCATGGTAAGGTAATTATAAGAAACAGGCAGGTGCCTAATGTCATGGTAAAATTTTAGATTTAGGCGCCACTGTAAAGTAATTATAATACTGCATAATAATATATTTCATATAGATGGAAACATGCAGTATATTTTAAATRTAAATAACTTTATTGTCATAACAGGAAATGAAAAAAACAATCGATAAGAAGAATTTACAAATTGAAGAACARCAGCAGAACAGGATGAAAGCCATRGAAACTCAAAAGGACACGATAAAAAGAACAAGACAGAAAAAAGCGTCGATGCGTGCTGCTGCTTCGAACTCAAAAGCTAAATCTAAGAAAGTAGTAAAAACTCCGAAAGTCAAGAAAGTGGAGGCGGTTCCCGCATTCAAGTTGAATAAAAACCGCAATGGTGTATATACGATGACTATGAATTATTTGACGAATGACGGGCGATTGGACAAGACGGAAGAACCTGTTGTATTTAAGTTAGCTGACCACACGAATGAAATTTTCGATGGTGACTCCAATTCGAGTTTAAACATAGAATT